GGGACTGGAAAACAGTAGCTGCAATCTAAAAGGCAAATATAACTTTGCATATTCTAGAGATAATGGGTTCAGAGAAGTTAAGGTCTTGCCCAATACGATGAAGCTAGAAAATGTGAATGGCAATTAGAACCCTGCACCAGGGTCTATCCACCATCACGCACACTGCTTCTGGAGAACAGACTATGGGCAGACAGTCTCTCTGGCATATTCAAACACTTAACAGATGTGTTACAGCACTATCAGTTTTAGGAGTATACCCTTTCCTTCCCTGTTGCCCTTTCTTGCCCTTTTCACTGAGTGCTGGAGGAGCGGTACTGCCCTTTTTATCTGTCTTCTACGGAAAGGCCATATGGGGCAGGAAGAGTCAATATTCTCCAAGCATCCCAACACGGACAATTCCCATAGTGTTCCAGCCTGTGTCCACCTTACAAGACACCCCTAACCATGACATGATAATCGCCTGACAGAGATAAAGCACCAGCAGGAACCATGTAAGGGAGGCAGAGGACAGTTTTGAAAACTAGTTTACACTTGACCATTCCTTGAGTCACTGATCCCCAAAAGCATTATTGTAAAATATAGACCCATAATCTGTTGCCTAAATGTTTTGTATCAGATTTGTTTCAGAATGCAGAACTCACCAGAATTTAAGAAAAGAATAATCTGTATATTAGATAATGGTTTCAGAGAAGTAAAGGGTCTTATATATATATACACACACATATATTACAACACACACATATATATTACAAGACATATATATATTTATATATTGTATATCCAGCATATCTGGGACCACACCCTAAAATCACATTAAGTTGAATAAATAAAGTTTATAAATGCTCCTGTCTGTGCCATTTAGGTCTTGCTGCAAAACAAATTTTGCACCTTCTAAGAAGGCAAATCAAGAACTGTGGTCGTAAACGCACAGATCACCAAGTGTTAGAGTAACAAGTACTTATCAACAACACCAAGAGAAATCTTGGGTGAGTTTCTGGAGACAGAGCCTTCGTTCTTTCTGTATCTTGATGTTCGCCATAAGGCCCATGTGTTTTGTGTTACTGCTGACGTGGCTCTAGGAAGTCTTCCTGACTGTTCCATTCTTACATTTCATTCTCAGCCCAAAGATAACAAACAACATGCCCGGAAAGGCAAGAGCCTTGTTCCCAGAGTGAGCTCCATGTCTCGGTGGCCACACACCACCAGTGCAGCGTGGTCCATAGGTTCAAGCCAACTATCAAAATAACCGTTTACACTTTTCTTTCACAGATCAATCAACTCTCCTCAGCATTTCAGTTTTTAGGCTTTGTAACCCATGAGGGCGCTAGTCTTTCTTAGAATAAATGACATTGTTTGTACCTTAAATCTATCGCGTCAAACCCTTCACTGTGGACCCCTGGGGGAAAAGTGGATTACACATTGGGCTGCTCACCTCAAAGATAGCAGTTCAAAACCACCAGCCTCTCTGAGGGAGAAAAATGAGGCTTTCTGCTCTATTAAGGTTTGCGGCCTCAGAAACTCACCAGGGAAGTTCTACCCTGTTCTGTAGGGTCATGTTTGAGTTGGAATCAAGTTGATGGCAGTGAGTTTGTTTTTGTTTCTTGGTTTTTGTTGTGTTGTTTTTTGGGTTGGTTTTTGAGGGGTGGGGGGTAAATTTTCCCCCAAAGAATTCTGCATGCTTTGACGTATGTCACCTGAGAATAGTAGTTTATGCAAACCCTAGAGATTCAAACTATATTCCTTTTAAATGTACTTTGAATTTTAGGAGCAACTGGGGACCTGGTAATGCACCTGGTCACCATTTCTCATAGGGCCGTTGGATTATATTGGCCAGGGGTACATTTCTAAGGAACGCTTAGGTTTATACCTTCTGTCCATTGAATCAGGATGAGTACAATGATTTATAACACAACCCACATACTCAGGTAAGTTAAAAAGTATTACTGCTATTAGAGTTCCAGTTCGTGTAAGCACAGGTTTTCCAAACAAAATGTGTCTAACATGTCTCTGTGACCAGTGACTGACTCCAGACCACTGCTCTCAGTATGTACTTGTCTTAGTCTCCACAGGGAGCCTTCCACAAAAGGCTCCATCAAGACAGGGGCTTCTGGGGAGGCTTTCAGGCTTTCTTGTTCCGTTATCTTGAAAGCCGGGAGCTCAGCTCAGAACGTTATGGCCACTGTGTTCTGGGTTTCCCAAGGGATAACTTTGAAAGATTTTCTTGAAGGGTGCAGGCCCAAACAGGGGCTTATTATGAAGATATTCTAAGAAAAGTGAAAACTGCACTGGTGAGAAAACAGCCAGGAAAGTTTGCAAGTAATGTTTTCCATCACAGGATACATCAAAAATAGCCAGCGCTGCCCCACACAAATTTTGTTGGCAAATCTTCCAAACTTCACCCATCTACCCTACAGC